AGATGACTAAGAGTATCAAATCAGAGATTTGGAATATAAGGAAGCATATTAACATCCAATTAGAACATCAAAAAGCGTTGGCCTGCGGACTGAAGGGTCCCAGGTTCGATTCTGGTCAAGGACATGTACCTTGCTTACGGGCACATCCCCAGTGGGGAGTATGCAGGAGGCAGCTGAATCAATGTTTCTCTCTCATCGATTTTTCTAACTCTCTACCCCTCTCCCTTCCTCTCTGTAAAGTCAATAAAATATATTAAAAAAATAAAAAAGAACCATAAGAAATTTGTAAAATGTGCAGAGAATGACTAATGTTTAAAATAAACATTTCAAATCTAAATAAATAAATAAAATAAACATTTCAGCCCTGGCCAGGTAGCACAGTTGTTTAGAGCATAGTTGCAGTATGCCAAGGTTGGCAAGGTTGTGTGTTCGATCCGCAATCAGGGCACATGAAAGAATCAACCAATAAATGCATAGAGAAATGGGATAACAAATTGATATTTATCTCTTTCTCCCTCCCTCTCTCTCCCCACCCCTCTGTCTTTACTGTTCTCTATTTCTCTTAAATCAATACAAAACAAATGAAAAATTAAACTAAATATTTCAGGTTAAGTATAACATGATTAAGAGACATACTAAAGAAAGATACTGAAAAACATAATCATTCCTTTTTCCTAAAGTAAACTTAAATGGAAGAACAAAATGTTTGCCTGAATATGAGGTGCCCAGTATTTCTGTAACTCACTTATTACCAAAGAAGAACATTCCAGCATGTTGTATCAGCACTTGACAATACAAAACCACAATCTGACAAAGATCTAATCAGAAAGTGAAAACACGTATGACACAGTCACAGGTAACTTTGGAACTGAACAAGAGAGAATCACAAGATGATGAACAAATTGGGTAACAATGGAGACTCTCCTACAGATGGGCGATGTTCTAAGGCCACAAAGGGCAGTAACTTATTGAAAAACTTTGTGAGTTAAATAGACACATTAAACTACTGTCACACAAGGAAACTGCAGAATACACAGGAAAAGGAAGATTTGAAGTGAAAGAAAATAAGATTTGATAGAGATTCTCCTATTTCTAATCCAGTTTGTCCACTGGCAAGAAGACATGGTAGAGAAGTTGGCAGCATAAGGTATAAACCTGTACATGCTGGCCCCCACAACAATATTAAAACCACAACTATAAAACAAAACAGCTATCATCAAGATCCACAGGAAAGCTGGCCGAGTGAAAGTTCTACAACTAGAAGGAAAGAAAAAAGCGCATTGAGACCGGGTAGGCGGTGCAGAGGCTCCAAGAACAGAGGTACGGAGGCGTGCGCGAGGCGGCTACACCTGGGTGGGTGGTTTTTTTCAATCGTAAGGGGATACAAGCTCTCGAATGCACTGAACTCCTTTATGGCGAGACTCTGGGGTCCCAGTTTCCTATGAGGAGAAACTGTACTGTCTTGCAGCGGGTCAGAAAGGGAGGGTGGCTTTTTCGTAGAGCTGTTTGCAGGGATCATTGTTGCTGTGGGGGTACGGGACTCGGGGACGCAGAGACGAGGAGTCGTGGAGACCCAAGGAGTCCCAGAGACTGCTGACGAAAGACATTGCTGTTTGCTCCGCCCTGGTGATTCTCTGAGACCCCGCCCTACTCAATTTACATCCCCACCCAAGCTGTGCCCAGCAACACAAAGGAATCACCTGCACTTTTGCAGCATAACCGAACAAACTGCAGCTGGGTCACAAAGCTCCAAAACTTCCAAACCCCAAACAAAGAGGAGAAATCTGCTGATATCACTGTAGCTCCTGCTAGGTGGACTCACACAGTGGTTGAGTAGGAGATCCAGGATCCAGGGTACCCTGGCCAGATACCAGATTTCAACTCCTCACATCCATAAGGGACACACTCAAGAGGCAGACTCCGTGAGCACCAAAGCCCCACTGAAGCAAGTTCTACCCCATAAGGGTGTCTCCAGCACAGCAGTTCTTTCACTGTAGACTCAGAGGGTTCTCGCAGTCAGCCAAAAATGCAGAGACAGAGAAACATGTCACAAATGAAAGAAATGGAGGAAAGAAAACTAATGGAGGACATAGAGTTCAAAACCACAGTTATAAGGCTACTCAAGAACCTTCAACGAACCTCCGAGGAACTCAGTGAGACTTCAAGGATTTTAATGAGAATGCCAAAAAAAATGGAAAAGGACCAGTGAGAAATTAAACATACACTGACTGAAATTAAAAATAATCGCCGAAACCGGTTTGGCTCAGTGGATAGAGCGTCGGCCTGCGGACTGAAAGGTCCCAGGTTCGATTCCGGTCAAGGGCATGTACCTGGGTTGCGGGCACATCCCCAGTAGGAGATGTGCAGGAGGCAGCTGATCGATGTTTCTATCTCCCTCCCTTCCTCTCTGTAAAAAATCAATAAAATATATTTAAAAAAATAAATAAATAAAAATAATATACAGAGATCCAACAGCAGACTAGAGGATCCCAAGAATCAAGTCAAAGATTTCAAATACGAAGAAGCAAAAAATACCCAACAGGAAAAGCAAAACGAAAAAAGAATCCAAAAATATGAACATAGTGTAAGGAGCCTTTGGGACAACTTAAAACGTACCAATATCTAAATTATCGGGTGCCAGAAAAAGAGAGAGAGCAAGATACTGAAAGCCTATTAGAAGAAATCATGACAGAAAACTTCCCCTACCTGATGAAAGATATAGACTTACAAGTCCAGGAAGCAAAGAGAACCCCAAATAAGAGGAATCCAAAGAGGACCACACCAAGACACATCATAATTAAAATGCCAAGGGCAAAAGACAAAGAGAGAATCTTAAAAGAAGCAAGAGAAAAACAGTTAGTTACCTACAAGGGAGTACCCTATACAACTGTCAGCTGATTTCACAACAGAAACCAGGCAGGCCAGAAGGGAGTGTCAAGAAATATTCAAAGTGATGAATAGCAAGAACCTACAACCAAGATTACTCAACCCAGCAAAGCTATCATTTAGAATTGAAGGTCAGATAAAGAGCTTTACAGACAAGAAAAAGCTAGATTATATGAAATGCTGAAGGATATTCTTTAAAAAGAGGAAGAAGAAAAAGGTAAAGTTAAAAATTATGAAAAACGAAGTGACAACAAATAAATATCTATCAACAAGTGAACCTAAAAATTAAGTCAGAATAAACTGGTGAATATAATAGAAGCAGGGGCATAGAAAGGGAGTGGACTGACAATTCTTGGGGGGGAAGGAGGTGTGGGGGGTGCAGGAAGAGACTGGACAAAAATCTTACACCTATGGATGAGGGCAGTGGCGGGGGGAAGGGGAATGGGGTGGGGTGGGAACCAGGTGGAGGGGAGTTATGGGGGGGGGGAGAGGGAACCATCTGTAATAATCTGAACAATAAAGATCTACACTAATAAAAGAGAAACATGGTAATTAGCGTACGACCGCTACCCTTCCCATTGGCTAATCAGCATATCCTTATGCAAATTAACTGTCAGCCGAGATGGCGGCCGGCAGCCAGGCAGCTGGAAGCGAACATGAGGCTTGCTTGCTCCAGGGACTGCAGACTCCAACGTTCTGCGCCTGACTTGCCGGCCTCTGAGTTGCAACTCTAAGCAACTATGTACTATGTTGCAAATAAGAAGCTGAAACCAGCTTTCAGCCAGCTGGGATCTCAGAGCTGAAGTTATACATTGTTTCGATTATAGAACAGCAAACAAACCAGATACGAAGCCTCAGAGCTAGAGCCAGAGCTAAAGCTGGCCCAGAATAAAATAAAAAAAGAGAAAAAAAAGGAGCGGTTGGGAGCTTCAGTCAGCCTGAAAGCAGCCCTCAGCCCCTCACCCAGACTGGCCAGGCACCCCAGTGGGGACCCCCACCCTGAAGGGTGTGTGACCAGCTGCAAACAGCCATCATCCCCTCATCCAGGCT